ACAGTGATCACAAAACGAAATGACAAGCTTCACAATATTCATGGCTTTTTGTTTGCTTTTCTACACAATGTACAACCATTTAATTTCTTTTTTCAGTACAAGGGAGGAAAAATGCTTATGTACAATAAGTCATTATTACTTCAAACCTAGCAAATATCGTGTCATTTATTTCATAGTCAATACATTTATTTAGTTGTTTTTTTTTTTTTTTTAACTGCAATAGAAACAAAACAGAACTCAAATGAGACGTCGGAATAAGAATGACTTTTGAAATCTAAGAATTGATATTTGAAAAGAATCCGTAGTCCAAATACAAAGGTGTGTGGATGCATCTGCAAAACAGTAAGAGAGACAGGAGTTGTTTGTCTTTTTTTGAATTTAAACTTCAGCTTGACAGCAAAAGTAGAGATTACACGACAAGCGCTGCTAAACCAGATCACGAGTGGCAGTAAAAATCGACCCAGGCGGTAAAAATTCGTGAAAATATATCACGACATCCAATTTCAATTGTTCCACCGATTGTTAAAAACGAGACTTTTTGATATAACAAAACAAAAATCTGTCCGTAAACTTCGGTTTACGTCTGGGAAACTAGTTCTAGGTAGTTTCATAGTCTTGGTTTCAGTCTCCCGTTTCAACTGGCGGTTTGTTGTCGGATCGTTCTGACGTGGTGACGGGCGGGTCTGGATTACTCAAACACAACCACAACACATTCATCTGACAGTCTGGCTGGACCGAACCAAAGCAGCCACTCGGTGCCGGTAGACGGTGGAGCTGTGATGATGCAGAACAAGTGGAACGGAGACACATGAATACAAGAGCTGTGCAGACGCATCGACTGTGTGGAGCTCCGTTAGTGAATCTACCAGACAGCTGGCTGTTGGTTAATGAAGGCTACAGGCTCCTACAAATATCATCCACTGTGACTCAGGATCACTTCAGTAATGTTATCGTGAAAGTTCGCTCTTTACTACTGCAGTGACTGTTCTGAGTGGCCTTCTCTTAGGATGAGAACTGAGACTGACGCTCGCTGTGACGGCCTTGGATAAAACAAAATGAAACCATCAAGTTACCTGCTTGTGAACTAGCAAGAATAACCTCCAACAAACGACTACCACGTGGTTTTTAAAACACTTTGCTAGCTGTCTGAAGAGGTGATGAGAACATGGACTAAATAAAGCTCCAGCATCACGTTTTCCAGGTTTGCTGACTTTGAGTCAGAGGTTTGAGTCGATTTCGTTCTTCAGGTTTTGAAGCATAACAACGAGTAATTAATAATCGACCCAAATCTGTCGTCTATGTTGCTGATAAAATAGAATTATTTTCTTTTATAAACCTTGAAAACTACGGTGTGGTAAAATAAATCCGACTACAGCCACAGACATGATGTGTCATGTGTCTTCATCACTACTTGCTGCCATATTTAGCTCATTTAATGACTGAATAAAGACAGATCCAGTCCTACGTGCAGCTATGAGAAGAATCCATGGACACCATCGGGTCACTACAGTAAACTGTGAAACTGCACATTTAGCAGAAAAACTCTCAGAAACAATAAACTAGACTTTCTGATTTTCACAAGCCGAGCTTTTACTGAGAGTGAAATGATGAAGCTCAGGACAGCCGACGTCTAACACGTGATTGGACCGTAGTTGATAAACGCTGTGTGACTGCTCTGCTAGTAGAACAGATCCTGATGGATCCTGATGGATCCTGTCCTCTGGTGTCTCTGATTGTACCAGATGATTGTAGAGCTAACAGATGAAGCCATGTGAGTGTCTGGCTGTAAGTGGACCAGCGTTGGTGCTGAAGTGTGGAAGAAGCCTGATGTTCGTGTCCTGTGAGCTCAGAAAGTCTTTAGCTGGGAGCGCTGAAGCTTCCTTCTTTATGGACTTGATGTGTTGTCGGGCAGAAAGACGACAAAAGCCCTCAACGAGAAACAACAGCGACCAGTGAAACCTAATGGAATGCAGGTGAACCTCAGAGTGGAGTGTCGTTAGCTAGTTTAGCTAACTAGCTGCTGGGTTAATTAAACAGCACTAGTGCTCACTTCTACAAAGACATCAGTTCTGTTCAGATTAAAGGACTGGTCGGGTCCAGACAAACGTCCTCTCGTATAAAAAGCGCTTTAGTTTTATTTTTACGAAGAAGTTCAAACCTTTTTGGACTTCTTGTAAAGCAGTGCGTTTGGATTTTTAAGTGCTACATCTTTTTTAGCATCATCTTACATTTTTGCATCCAGTCGCCTCATGGCTCTGTTGTTTATTGGACCTGGACCTGGACCGGGCTTTGAGCTGTAGGCTGACTGAACCATGCCAACAGGAAAAAGAGCCGTTATGTGCATTAGCACGCTAACATCTGTTTAGCTGGATCTAGGGAGGGCGTCACTTATGTTGCAGGTGTTCAGTCATAAACCAAACGAGGTTGAAACGAGGTTGTCTGCAGAACATAAAGACATTAAAACTGAACAGCGTCAGTCCAGAATGAATGAAGCGTGATGAAGCAGACATCTGATCAGACGATAAGCAGACACAACAAGCTCAACCATCCACTGCTCCATTCACACACACAGACCAGCGTCCTGGTAGAAACCCATCAGCTGGTACCAGTGGACTGAAGACATCCAGCGTGAAGGCGAGCCAGGTCGCTGCCCTCTGCTAGTGTTGGTCTCGTGTCAACGATGAACCTGAGCCACGTTCTGTCACCACATTTAGTTTGGACATGGATGGGAAGTAAAAAGCATGATCCTTCTGTGAGTTACTAAAACAGACCGCCTGGTAATGTCCACATAAATCAGTCATGAGACTTTATAGATGAAGTCATGACGGACTTCTATGTAACCTGACGTCTCCGGTACCAGACTAACTGACCTCAGCTCTGTGTGAACGCATCCAAACCGACTTCATGGCCTCTGGTTCCTCCTGTAGGAAGGACCCATGATCCATGAATAATACTGCACATCGACTGAACACTGTTTGAAATACTGAATAATATACGTGCTAAAACCCATTCTAGTGAATGATGGTGGTCTATGAGGCGGATACATCTGCTGGTCTTTCTTCTTTCCATGATTCCTGCTAAACAGTCGAGGCTGATTTCTGCTCCTGTTCCCCACTAAGACGTCTTCAATCATCAATCACATGAAGCACCGAGCCTGTTGCCTTCATGCTGTGGGCCTTAAACGACTGAGTATCTGAGAAAGAACCCACATGGACTCATGTGAACCACAATCTGAGCCTCGACTGGAGAAAACACCTGCTGGTTTGTGATGGTCTGATCCTAAACTCCATCAACAACAGCTCCTCTCATGAATTCAGCGTCCTCTATGTTGCTCCACGATTCTATCACGCAGCATGAAGAAGGTTCAGCAAAGAAAAGAAATGCAACGACCGAACTGAACAGGGTTTGGACCGAGTGCAAACATCATGAGAACAGGTCAATACAATGAATAATGTGAAAATGCAGCAGCATGCTGGAAAGAGGTAAAGACGCAGATGTCTTCCTGTTTTCTTTGCATTAAGACGTATACATGAACTCTGGAGTAACATACGATGGACTGAGGCCACAGAAGAGCGTCGCTGAGCTACAGACGCGTTCACCAGGTCACTCCTGACTCACAGTCTGAAAACCACAGACCCAAGAAACATTGACTGCTTCGCCTCATTATGAAGCGTTCTTGCTATACTTTCCCTTTAAGGAGGCCAAGTGGTGAATCACGGCTGTGTCCAGTGACCGGTGCCTGAGGCCTGATGTGGACCAGCCTGGGTCTGGCTGACACCATGGTGGGTCCAAGCAGACCTCTACTGCAGACCACAGAGATGTGAGGTGGGACTGCTGTGGTAACTCTGCATTTAAAATGAAGGATAACTTTAAAACTGAAGCCACTGGGGTTTACAGACAGGCCGGACCAGGCTGGGCCTCATCACACTGGGCTGGAAGGTGACGCTTCAGGTCCAACATGTACAAAGATCAACACTGGCAAAGTAAGTCAGGGTGAAACCATCCATCAGCCATTAGAAACACTCCACACTGCTCAGGACATCTCCTCTGACCCTCTGGCCGGCCGTCAGCCAGCATCCAGACCTCGGTCGCTCTCAGTTCTAACATTCTTTTCCTCTTTGTTTTAAAAAAAAAGTTTCCAATTGGAAATATGCAAAGTGCTCCTCTGGAGTGAGGCGACTTGTGTGCAGAGGACGCACACAATGATTGATCCATGTCTCTCTCATAAAAGATAAAATCCACATCCTTTTTTTTTCTCTGAAGCTAGGTATCTATACACAATCCATACAGGTATTTCAATAGTTTCTGTTTTATGTTGATTATTATCGTCTCCAGGGGCTAACACCTCTCAGGTACGCCACCGTTTAATTAGGAGACGCCGCAAAAAAAATAAACAAATAAACAAACCAAAAAAAGGGAGGAGGAGTCGGGGTAGGGGGCGGGGCTTGGGGGTGGGGTGGTGGGGGTGTGGGGGTGGGGAGGGGGTGGCACAACAATCAAAAAACAACCTAAACACCCAAATGTAAAAAGAACAGGAACCCAGAGGTCCAGGTTTCTAGGTACAGAATCTGTTGTCTGAATGCACCAAATGTGCTTCCACCTTCAGATTTGAGTTCTATGCATTCTCTCAAAGAACACGTGACGCCAAGAGGAGCTGCTGGGTACAAAGGGTTCAGTCTGTGCATACTGAATAACCATATGGGGGGAGCATGGAGGGGTCATTGGCAGGTAGTGAAACAGTATGGACCAGGAGGGAACATCAGCTGGCTTCTCTCTGAGTGGAGACCATCATCCCCCTGAATACTGGGTTGGTTGGCAGACAGCATCCTCTGGTCTGTCAGCTTCCTCTGGCTGGAGTCCGTATTGACTGCTGGTCTGCCGAAGGGGCAGTTGGGACGCTGCTGAGTCAGTCAGTCCTGATTAGTACAACTACAGTATGTCCCATGTGCACCCGTGTGGAAACTGTTCAGGTCAGTAACAGGAGAAGCTGACGTTTGAAATGAAGACACTGATGAGAACCTTTTTATGAGGAATGGTGGCGAGCAAAAGAAAAGGTTTTCCAAGCTTTGATCACATAGGATTCTCTTGTGTACATATCTGCACCTTTGGTCAGTTGGTTCCAGTCGTGTAGCTCTGCTGGTGGCAGGGTGCTGCCCTGAACTCCAGGCTGGATACGTCCAGATTCTACCTGCAGCTCAGTGTGAAAAGAACTCTTGAAACAGGTCCTTAGGACGAGATGGTACCACCGCTGGTGCTCTGCTCTCATACACACCTCCTGTTACACTTCCATTTTTAGAATGGGCTCTTTATCCTCTTTTCAAGAGCGAGCAGAGCTTAGCATTGTCTGTTTTTGTTCAATATTTCCACTTTGTTCCTTCCAATTTAGTGAGCTAACACTTTTTACAAAGCTTCGAAGTCGTTAGGTTTTATGTTGCATAGCAACCAGAATGCACCCTGTTGATCTCGTTACTATCAATAGTCACATCTAAGCTTTAGAGTTAAGTGGAGAAAAAAATCCTATATGATTGTGGCCTAAAGTGACCCTACAATGATTTACTGTCACTACCCACATTACAGGATAGGCAGCAGAGAATCTGAACAAAGGAACCAAACACCTACAACAGAAAAAAGCATAATGAGTAATAGTAACTGAAGCAAAAATGGTAGTTGCATGTATAATAGTGCTACCACCAGCAATAATAAAGGGAATTATAATCGTTAAACAACGCTGACAAAGAAGGCTTTACTATAATAAGAAACATCTGAGATGCACTGACAGATAAGTGTCTTTGTCCAACTTGGTGGGTTTCATGGGTTGGTTTAAGGTAGGCACACGGACAGGCACTGCATGCGATGGGGGTGGGTGGGGTGGGGGTACTGGTTGATCTGGGAGTGCTTCAGTATGGGGTAGGTAGGCAGATGGGGGGAGGCTTCAGAGGGCCTTGAGGGGTGGGCAGGATTCATTTCTGTCCAGTGATGGACTGCGATATGGATCGAGGTGGGATCATGTCCAACAGGTACTCTCTCTGCCGGTCTGCTAAGCTGGAGCTCTTGTGGGCTCCAACTGCTGCTGGGTTCAGATAGGCAATATTTAACCCTGTGGGGACAGAACACACACAGTAAGACAATAAGATAAGGTCAACAGGTCACTTCAGTCTGTTGAGTTTCTATTCACTGGCTGGTACCTGATACTGTTCACTGCAGAGAAAACTGTTCTTTATTATTAAGAAGATGTTTTCTTCTTCTCTGAACTGCCCACCACTTTCAGTTTTAACGTGTCATCTTGATAACCTTTACATAATCTTATGTATCTGCAAAAATCCAGGGTTATCTACCTAATAAAGACAAAATGGTATTTAGAATAGAATAGAACTTTATTGATCCCTTTGGTGGAAACCTCAGGGAAATTGCTGATTTGGTCCATAGAAAAACCCATGTAGCACAACTCTAAACGTAAAGAAGGAAACAACCACACGAGCCATCGCTACCGAGCATCTTCCTCACCAACACCAGATCCATCACCAACAAGAGGGACAAACTAGAACTCAAACTACAAACACCTGCAGGACTGCTGCTGATAACGGAGACTTGGCTCCACCCACTCCCCGGCGTTGTCATGGAGGCAGCAGGTGCATGGCAGAAACAGAGACTCCAGGAAGTGCAAAGGAGACCACTTGTGCATTTATGTCCACAACAACTGGTGCACTGATTCACCAAAACACCAGAATCACATACAGCCACGGTTCTTATGTTCTGGAGAACCAGACAGTTTCATGAGGCCCATTTAGCTTCCATGTGAGTATACTGTTGTTATGATCACAGCTGTTTACATTCCACCAGATGCTAATGCTAGCATAGCTCTAGGCTACGTGCACGGCACCATCACCTCTCACCAGAGCCCACATCCAGAAGCAGCTCATATCATAGCTGAGGATTTAAACCATGCAGATCTAAAGACAGTTCTCCCCAAATCTGAGCTTCACATCAGCTGTTAGTGGGAAAACACTGGATAAAGCTGATTCTAACATCAAGAAAGGCTTTAAATCAGCACCACTTCCACACTGAGACCAGTCAGACCACTGGTCCACACTCCTAACCCAGCATACACCCCCTCAGAGGAAAAGCTGTGTTGACAACGTCACTGTCAGCAAACACATCCAGATGTCGCCCAATCAGAAGCTCTGGATGGAAAAGGAACCCAAGGACTGTAACACAACCTTCAGTCTGGTAACAGAGCTGCTGGAACCTGAAGAGAGGCATCAGGACGCTGTAGCAGCAGGCAGGAGGAAGATGGAGAACCACTTCACCGACAACAACCCCCTGCAGGTGTGACAGGGCCTCCACTGAGAGAGGAGCTTAACTGATTCTTTGTCTGCTTTGAGGTGAAAACAGCAGCAGTAGACACCACATGTTCACCAGCCTCAGACAGCCTCACTGTGCAGCAACATGAAGTAGAGGGAAGCTGCTTGCCCTGCTGGTGGTACAGTAAGGTTACCAATTGCATGTGCAGATTAGCCTCCTATGGTCTTCAGCCTGCCTCTGTCCCACCCTGCCTGATGTCTTAAACAATTACCCCACTGCCAAAAAAATCCATCATGGACTGAGTGGGCTGAACCGTCCGGTAGCCCTCACACCGGCTGAGGCTGGTCCTTAGACAACAATCTGGTCCGGAGCTCCACAAAAACTAAAGGGAACATTCTAGACTTAGACAAACCAAGCAGACCCTGATCTACCAACCATCAGCTGGGACAGTGTGGAGAAGGTCCCTGCCTTCAGCTTCCTGGGTACCTACATCCTGGACTACCAACACCACAGCAGCAGTGAAGAGGGCACAGCAGTGACTCCACTTCCTGAAGATCCTCAGCAAAAACAAGCTGCAGGAGAAGCTGCTCGTGTCCTTTTACTGCTGCTCTGTTGAGAGCGTGCTCGCATACTGGATCATTGTGGTTCACCAGCTGCTCAGCGGTGGACAGGAGAACCTCCAGAAGATTATCAACACCGTCCAGTGGATCATCAGCTGCTCACTGCCTTCTTTAGAGGACTTATTCAGCTTTCACTGCCTCAGTAGAGCAGCAAACATTCTTAAGGACCAATCCCATCCTGGACACCATCTGTTTGACCCACTGCCCTCAGGTAGATACTTCAGGTCCATCAAATCACAGACAGATAGTCTGAATAGCACCTTCTAGCCTCCAGAGAACTGAACTCTGCTAAACATTCACACTATCTGTCTGGACCTGAGTGTCTACGAGTCACTAAACCACCACGGTGGTGCTGGTTCTGTCTGCCAAGCCAATATAGACATGTTACTTGTGTTCTTGTTCAGACTAATCTTGACTTTAAAACATAATTGTTTATCCAATAACGACATTGACCTTCCCAGCAGGACATAACGAGAGTCAGCTGTCAGTCCAGAGTTCAACCTCTTAGTGGAGTGTGTTAGCATGCTAGCATTTGCTGATTGATATTAAGCTAAACACTGTACAGCTGAGGCTGACAGGAATGTCAGTAGTTCAGTAAATATTTGGATATGAACTGATGTATTATACATGATTACTTATCACAGTTCATCTCGGTGAGGATCTCTGTGATGAGCTGGTGACCCGTCCAGCAGGGTCCTGGCAGCTAAAACACTTTAACCACGAACGTCTATCTCACTGGTCAGCAGGATTGGTCTTCTGGGGAACATGTGTGTGTGTGTGTGTGTGTGTGTGTGTGTGTGTGTGTGTACGCCATCTGAGCAGTCGATCTAATAGTTATTGAGATGTTTTAGCGGTGGTCCGACTGACTGACGCTGCGGTATGTCTAGACATGCAGTCTGTCCTGTGTTTCCTATTTGATGACAAATATTGAAAATAACCCAGTTTGTAAAACACGGGGGGATGCAGGAGCTCATGATTGTCAATTATGAAAAGCTTAATAAAATGAACAAAATGAATGATGTTTACTGTGTTGCTGGAACATCTGTGTCCTTCCAGTTAGGCTGTTCTTAGTATTATAGAAATATTAAGTATGGAAGTGTGGAAATAATAAGTTATAAACGTAACATTTCAAACCAGACCTTCAGTATTTGAGGAGGTAAATATAAGAATCAGGTCAGACTTGGTATTGGACCAACATTAAGTGACTTGGATTAAGTCAAGGCTGTCATCTGATATAAAGGTTTTCATGTCATCACTCTTCAGCTGCCTGCTGCAGATGCATATTGTCCGCTATCAACCGTGTACATTGTGCACGTTACCCTCTGCATGCTGCCTCCTTTAAGCTTTAATCCTGCAGTAGTTTGTGTTCTTCTGAACAAGTTTTTCATGCTGTTGTTTTGTTGTTTTAATGGCTAATGTAGAGTCTGACAGCAGCTGGAAATGAGCTGTTTGACCAACGCTGACTGGCTGGCAGTGTTCATCGTCACTGACAAACAACACCTGATAGGATCCCCATCCCTGGTGTATATAGCACAGAAGGTACCTGGGATGTTGTAGATCTGACGACGGCTGTCATGCTGCAGTCTGTTGCTGCTACTGCTGCTGCTGCCTCCACCGCTGCCACAGTGCTTGGCACTAGTCATTCCCATGAGGCTGCTGGCCACTGATAGCTGGGAGGCCTGGGCGAAGTTGGAGAGGACGCCTCGTGCAGAGTTGGACAGACCTCGCTGCAAGGAGGCCTGGGGCTGGGGAGCCTGACGACAGCAGAGACATCAGTCACTTCATCATCATCATCATCATCATCATCGATACACAGAGCACAAATTAGTGTAAATGTGTTTTTATTTTTAGCTGTTAATGCTTCCAAAAACTCAGAAATTTAAATGTTGGCCCGCTGTTAGGGGTCGGGCTGCAGCGTACCTGGCGGAGGGCATGATGTCGGATCATGTTGTCGGTCTTGGAGGCGTTGGGGCCGGTGGAGGCCGAGCTGGGGGAGAGGGCGGCCTGCTGCTGCAGCCTCTGCTCGATCTCCTGACATGGGGATACACTCACAGTCAGACACTCGCATGGATTAGTCATTTCATAGACTTACATCCTACCTTCTCATGTGGCCAGTGGTGGTTTGAAAGCTGCAGTTGTCCAAAAAAAAAAAAAAACCTTCCACACATCCAGACACCAGGTGTGTTTGTTCAGTACTGGCAGTTAAACAAAAATGGCACCGGTTCTAACTGGACCCACTCGTCAGGACCCAGAGGAGCACAGGGTGGTTCTTCTAAGTGACTCCACAGATTAAAAGCAGCATGTCTGCAGGTGTATAACTGTGCCGTGTTCATCTGGCGCCCCAGGTCTACACCAGCTAACAGCAGAAGATCAGAGCTACAGCCAGCAGCGCTCTGATGGCATCTTTAGCCACTTTAAAGGACTCACTGCTTCTCTTTAGCAATCCTTCACTCTGATGGTGACAGAGTGAAGGAACAAACAGAACCTGGACACCTTAATATTTACACTTCATAGGGTACACAGCTGGATGGTGAGATGATGGTGAACATTCACTATGTTGGGATGTCGCTGTGTGTTGATATCAAAATAAAAAACATAGGAATAAAAAAAATAAAACATTATTGTAGGAGACTAACAAAGACGACAGAGTGGTGCTGACCTGCTCCTGCTGCAGGGCCTTTACGAAGGCGTTCTTCAGCCTGTTGGTGTGCTCTGCCTTCAGAGCCTTCTTCTGATTGGATGTCATGCACTGCTCACACAGGATTCGCCCACTTTTCTCCTGCTTCCAGTGGGGAGTGAAGTCGGTTCGGCATTGGGCGCAGAAGAACGGCTCCATGCGGGCCAGCGTCCCTCTGAGTTTACCTGCAGAGGATACTCTGCTTTAGCCAACAGCAACAACACGAGGCTCAGGTGAGAGGTTGTTTGGAGTCAGTTTAAAGCGCTGAATTTCTCATACAGACGTCCCATCACTTCTCTACCAAACTACAAAAGCAAGACTCAGACATCAACAGAGACCACAACTGAATGAAGTGAAACCATCTTTTACTTTGAAAAAACTGCAGTAACTGAAGTAATACGGATTAAATTGATCACTTTTGGACACTTACTTTATGTGTCAGGCACATCACACAGGTTGTGAGTTCAGCCTGAGGGCCAGATGCTTACCCTGACTGTCCAGCACGCTCTGCACCACCTCCTCCAGGCCCACCATGTAGATGAACTCGCTGTTGGCGGCGGAGGGCAGGAAGTGGAGGAGTGGAGCCGGAGGTTTGGGGGGAGGGATTTCCAGCAAGGTTTTTTCTAGCTGCTTCCTCAGGGCCAGCTTGGCTGCTGCCTGGCTGCTGGCCTGGTCGGCCATGGAGCCCACCCCTCCGCTGGCCGAGCCAGACATGGTGGACGGGCTGACGGCCGAAGTTCCACCTAGGCTGCCGGCCACCCCGCCTGCTGCCGCCGCCGCCTGCATGTGGGCCAGGTTCATGTACATGGCACTGGAGCCTGAGCGCTGGGACGCTGCCACCTGCTGGCTGGCCTGCAGAAAGACACACACTCTCAATCACTGCGCTGCAACAACTTGTTCAGTCCTTCATATTTACTTTTCTAGCTATCACACACACATTCCCAGTACCAGCCCCCCACCTCCATCAGCACAGTGTCTGACATGAATGAACGCAGAGCCCAGCTCGGACCAGTTGGCTCGGTTCTGTATGAATCCATACCTGCTGGTAGCCAACAGCGTTGGCCAAGCTGCTGGAGCGAGACATCCCAGGTTTGGAGGAGACTCTCTGGCCCTGCAGCTGGGCAGGGTTGGGGGCGATAACTCGCTGGGACATCAGCATGGGTGGCAGGTTTGCATTGGCTGCTGAACGGATGACTGTGTGACCCTACAGGACGGAAAAAACAAAAGGTTTCAGGAACAGAAAAGCTTCAAAGAACAGTTTTCTGTAGGAAACACTTTGTGTGGTTGGATAGAAGTTCAATGCTCTGCTTTCAGTACAGAAGTCCTCTCCCTTAGTAGCTATGAAGCGAGCTAACTGTTATGTACCTGTACAGGAAGCATGCTAAAGCTTAACGCCAGACGGCAGGTTTGACGGCCTGCCACGGACGACCGATTAACTGAGAAGGAAATGAATCCCTACTTGGTAACAACATCTGTAACAGTAAGCACAAACAAACAGGACGACTCATCTTCATGTCTTATATCACCTGTGAGGCTACACAAATGACCAGGCTTCGTTAATACTCAATCAGCTGATTTGTTCTTAAAACCAAGTAGACTCGACTTTGTTCATCCTGGATACAATTATCCTGAATAACAGCTCTTATTCTGAAAACAACAACAACAACATGAGTTCAACACGTGAGCTCAGACCATGATTGACTGACGAATCCTATAATTACACTGAGTGGGTGCGTAGAAATGCCCCTAACCCTCACCCCTCACCCTCTGCATCACTGGGGCAACTGATTCATCTCACCAGCAACTCTCACGTGTAAATTCACCATCATGTCCATGTCCAGCAGTGTGGTTTGTTGCAGCTGGATGCACGGCTGAGCCACGTTCATTTATCATCAACACACCTCAGCACTTCATGATTTCACACTAGACATAGTGAGCGTGCAGGGCAAAGAAGTGCTCCCTTCATATCCTCAGGTCTCCTGCAGCGTTCAGACATTTTACACGACGTGGCCAGCAGAGGGCAGCAGCTGCTCGCTGAGTAAACGGATCATCACACAAAGGCTTACACAGAGATACACACCACCACATCCACACATCCAGCAGAGCTACTTCATGCAAGAACAAAGGCTTCCACCAGGAGGATGGACCTTCTACTGATCCATCCATGATCTACGTCGACCCAGTCCTAAAGTCAGTAACTTTAACCTGAGCCTGACCCCTAATCACACATTTCTGTCTCTCCACATCCACAGAATGCTGGAGGACGTCACCGACCAAAACAATGTCCACACCTTTGCAGAACCTGAGCTTTGACAGCCAATTCTGAGAGATCCTTCTGAATGGACTTTAAGGTAGCACCCAAGACAAAATCAAAACAAGAGTTCATTCCCCGAGCCATGCTTTAACAAGGACTTCTACATGAAGTAGTCCTCTGGGGATTCAGAATTTCATTTTAATCAAATTCTGTAAAATTGAGCTTATATAGCAACACAAGTCATCTCAGGGCTCTTCACATCAGAAGACCTTCCAAAGTTATAAAGTGAAACGCAGAAAATCCAAAACAATGCAAAACATGGAAATGAGAGGGAACACCGCAGCGTTTTAACATTTAAACGGTCCGTTCTGTCTCATGTAAAACAACACACACAGACCTGTGCAGTGCGGAGGTTCTGGGGCTCGGGGTTGTGTAGGCCCGGCCTCACGGGCAGCTTCCCCAGGCCCGGAGAGCTGTGGATGGGTGGAGGCTGCGCAGAGGACACGGCGTTCTGGACCACCGGAACCTGCACAGACACCAACACAACGTTTAAAGTCCAACAGAACCGCTGAGCTGCATCTGGAACCAACATTGCTCTACAGATGAGGTTTTACTTCACATTTAATGATCTTTTAAATTATATCACAGTAGTTACAACTTGATCACAATAAAAAAATAAATAAAATACTTGAAAAAAAAAGCACACCAGTGGTTTTACGTGTTCAGCCAGTTTAATACCAGCTATTTTTTGAGGACTAACATTCTGGCTCAGCTGATGCTATAAACGATATCAAATGGGGTTTTTCCTGAGGATCTGATCTCTATTTCATCTACACTGCAGTCTACTGTTATAACTTGATCTACTGGTTCTCTGGTCCTACTAATGACATTATACACGGCCTCAGACTTTGCAGGAGAAGGCAGAACATCATGACACACTAGTTGTTTTGTCAGGATGTCACGAGGCGACCCAGACAAGCGCTCGTTGTTTTCACTGGCCTTCCTGACACCCCATGTCTGGAGTCTGTCCCTGCTGACTTGGGTCAACGACAGCAAACAGGTTCCTGGACGGGCTGCCAGTCCATCACAGGGCTACAGCGTACACTCACACTGAGAAACCCAGTAAAAACCCACAGAGGCACAGGGGAACATTTAAAGAGCCCAGACCCAGATCTGAACCCAGGACCTTTTAGTGCTAGCCACAAAATAAATAAAACTAACATAATCTGTAGGTTGATGATATTGTATATTAACAATCTGCATCATGACTAATGCCGTCAGATAAACGCAGAGTTTTAGTAGAATAGAGGGATGAAGTAGAAATACTACGTTAAAGTACTTCAAAACTGCACAAACTACACGACTGGATTCAATGAACTTAAATACATTCATGAGGCAGATGCAAAGGCAGCCCAGCGCTGGACTCCGGACCCCTGACTGAGGGTCTATGAGCAGCACTGACCTTCTGCACCACGTTCTCCTTCTGCATCTGACTCTGCCGGAGCTTCTTGAGCAGCACAAGGCGAGCCTCCTCCAGACGCAGCTCTTCTTTCAGAGCTTTGATCATCTGCTGCCGCTCCACTCCCGTCTTCCCCTGGAACACATAAGACTACAGTGAGACTTGATGTCCATACAGATACATCAGTGTGCATCTTTTAGGTCAACAGCCTGCTTAAATAGACTTTAGAATAAAGGACTCGCACCACGTCTACAAAGAAAGTGCAGCGTGAGCAGCATGCAAGCAGCAGCAGCTCCAGTCTGTCAGTACAGGAAGCGTTCAGTGCTGAGGTGAAAGTCAGCCCAAAACACAACCACAACAATCAGGTAACAATGCCCTGGCTGATGTCTACTGGCACATGATGCAGAAGAGATAAATGGCCTTTGTACCAATCTGCACAAAGTTGATGAGCTTGTGTACATGGCTTTAGACCAGGGATCTCCAGCTCCGGTCCTAATGAGCTGCTGTCCTGCAGGTTTCAGCCGTTACTGCAGCACACCTGACTCACATTAATGGATCATTAACAGACTTGTTTAGAACTTGACAACAAGCTGCTGGAGATCCATTAAGGCGAGTCAGGTGTGCTGCAGTACGGAGACATCTAGAGCCTGCTGGACAGGAGCTCACGAGGACTGGAGCTGGAGATCCCTGCTTCAGAGCCACCTGAGGGTCTCATAGTGCAAATGAACAAACAGGAATTCTCCCTGCACATGTGCCTCATGTAGGACGAAGACTTCCAGGCTGGTGATTTATATGATAAGTTAGTGACGAGAGTCACCGAACACTGTCTATGAGAACAATGAAGGAGACTTTCTTCAGGAATGACGGGTGTCACGTCTACAACTATTATACACTCAGTTTATTTCTTCAGACTGTTAGAGGCAACGTGTTCCTCTGTGTCTTTACCTTGAACATGTCCAGGTTGGCCTGGTGCACCCGCTCCTCGGGCCGGGGCGTTGTTCTGGGACTGGACGCCTCGTTGTCTGACAGGATGATGACATCTGGAGATGGAGTTCTTCTGTCATGTTCAGCATCGCTTCATGGAAGAACGAGAAAAACAAAAGATCCCGTCAGCATTACCAACACTGTGAGTGAACGTTTATCATCAGAGTGTTTCCACCTGAGCATTAAAACGTTCAACCTTCAGGCAGAGTGGACAGGTTCTCCAACTGTCTGCATGAAGTTTAAGACACTTTTCTCAGTTTCATAAGACCAGCTCATTGCACACTCATGCCATGCAGTAAAACAATGTTTAAACCACAACAAGTAAATGCTAATCCCATTGTTTCCAAAGATACAAGAGGTCTAAAATATAATCATTGCAAATGCATGAAGTGGTGCTTGGAAGAGTTGGGAAACAAAGTGATAGCAAAAGGAAAGGAGCACCTGACAACACACCAGCATTACCACAACTCTGAATGTAATGGAAAATGCTTCATTTAACGGATTTAACATTTACTGAACGTTTATTCGCCTCCAAACCGACACCATGTCGAGGTCTCGACAACCAACAACGAGATCATCGGAAATGTCTAATGTGGCTAATCTCAGTCGATCTGAGCACACATCGAGCTTTGTCAGTTTGAATTCTGTGTTGAAGCTACGCCATGCTGCTGATCCTACATGTCACTGTAAGACCGAGTTATGGTTAATGAGGGATTATGGGAATTTAACCAGCGCAGAGTCTCCAGAGACACACTGGTCTGAAGTCTTTAACAAGCCAACTGGCCCCTGGTCACGTCAGGTTGGTTTGAGCTGGAACAGATCCAGAGTCCTTGCGGTACCGATACATGTGTTGATAAGGACTGCTGATGTGACCAGACTCTGTTCACTGTGACTTCTGTCTTGCCTGCAGTCAGGGCTCCAAGCAAAAGGATCAACAACAATAGCCCACATTTATGTCTGATGCTGCCCTCACATGGCTGCAGACCGATACAGCAGCTAGACGGGCCTCTGCAAATCCACCACAGAACCAGAACCCACAACAGAGTCGCCACAGCAGAACCCATAACGCTGATGGTCACATGACGCACGGAGACGCCACATCGAAGCTCTAAATGAGCAATTAGTAAATTTGGAGAGACAGAAATGCCAATTTTGGAAGTTAGTATTCAATTTCTGAATTCAGTAAAAAAAAAAAAATATAATAACAATAATAACAACAACAACAATAATACCAATAATAAATAAAATATATAAAAATAAATGTAAAACTATAAAAATCATATAAAAACACACCAACATGTGCTTACAGCTAAGGACATCAGTGTTTTTTTACTCAATGAACTTTGCCACGATTTCAGAATTATCATTATAAATACTGATTTTATGAATGAAAAAAGAAGAAATTTCTCTTGCAAGTGCAACAATCTGCTCTTTATAATGGTGCAACAACACACAGCACATCCTGACAGGACAACATATATTTATATATACTGTATGTTGTTACACAAACAAAAACACATGTTTGTGTATTTTCTGTCTATTTACAATACATTTAGTTACTGCAAGGACGTTTCTAGTTAAATCTCTAATGAACAGCACGTAAAGTTTGCATCCTCGTTTACCATCTCCTCCATGATTGGCTGCATGATGACGCTCTGAGGAACATTAGATGAAGATAACCAGGTAGCAGCTAACGCTATGTGTTACTATCTAGCATCCAAGCCTCATCAGTGACCTGTTAACACTCCTTAAATCTACTAATCTGCACTGACATGCTTTAATAGACATGTTCATTAGATTCTGATGCACTACAAACAATAAATGATATCCTTCAAGCATCTCACCTGGTGAGCGTGCACCATGAACAGTCTCCTGTGTTACACTACACGGTTAGTAGTTGCTGCTAACGTTTGGGAACTATTGAGACGCTCCATCATCGTCAATCGCATTAAAAAACGGTCCACTGAAGTGAACATCACGTGACCCTTGTTACAGCAGTAATGTGAGGAAGCTGCACTATAGTCTGACACTGACCTCCACACATGGATCTACTCACTGTGGTTGCACCAACAGCATCTACCCAACGTTACCCAACACCAACACCAACACCCAACACCAGCAGGCTCCAGCACAGACTGTGTAGATCCAACTCTTCATAAGGGTGTTCCTCTTTACCACAACAGAACAGTCAGGTTTCATTACGTTCAGGCTAATGGTCATCTAATGGAGGCAGGTTCATCCAGTAACAGCTTCAACAGCTCAACCATCTGCCAGCAGCAGCAGCTACACTCAGACCAAGCAGGACCTCCAACAACAACGAGGACTATCTGATGGAGATCACCCACCTGGAGGACTGGTGCAGAGACAACAGCCTCCTCCTGAACGTCAGCAAGACCAAAGAGCTGATGGTGGACTACAGCAAGAGGCAGCAGAGGGCATACCACCCACTCAGGATCAGAGGTGGAGCGAGTGGAGGCCTTCAGGGTGTCAACATCACCAGGACCTGACGTGGTCCTGTCACATCAACACCCTGGTGAAGAAGGCTCCACAGCGTCTCTACCTCCTCTGATGCCTGAGGGACTTTATGCTCCCTCTCAAGGTGCTCAGGAGCTTCTACACCTGCACCATGAGAATGTTCTGGCTGGAAGCATCACCACCTGGATGGGCAGCAGCATCCAGCAGGACTTCTGGGCCCTAAGGAGGGTGGTCCGCTCCATCAACTATCACTTCCTTTAAGGAAGTGATAATTGTTCTATTAGTGTCACTTCCCTTCTGAGTGTTCGTACATGCAGTGTATTGTCTATTCAGGTGTTTATTGTGTGCAGGTAAATGGATCTTACACACACACACTTATGTAAGGACTCAAAAATAAAATGTTCCCGATATGAGAAATATTTCCATATATTGTGCTGTGGAAAATGTCAGGTTTCGGAGATATGAATGATTTTAGTTTTTTTTCAGTATTGTTTGCCTTGTAGCAGTACAGTGGTCTTTCATCAGTGTAACTCAGCTTCTTTTGTTATGGTGCCATCTACTGGCCAAGCCGGTATAATGTACTGGTTTACAGGATGCTCTGTTCACATGCTAATGAGAAGAAAGGAGAGTATGTTGAGCCAGAGGCCACCATGAGACGTAGGAGGGAGGAGCAGCAGCAACAAACACAGTGTGTGTTCGTACTTTATTTTGCTCAGAAGATGCTTTGTTCTCGTGGTTTAATCAACTGGACCTGCTTGAGTTCCTTGAAGACGTTCCACCTTCATCCAAGAGGCTTCATCAGCTCTGACTGACTAGTTGGGAGTTTGTTGCTCCTCTTCATGTGGAAGATGAACCCACATCCACACCTAGACACAGCAAACCCTAATGAACCCCACTGTGCAGGGGGAGCACTAACGACTCACATAACGAGGGGGAGGAGCAACAAATCCCTAATTGAAACCCAAACTCAGGTGTTAATGTCTCCTTCAGGAAATCAGTATCTGGAACTCCCAACTACTCAGTCAGTGCTGATGAAGCCCCTTTGGATGAGAGGTGGAACGTCTTCAAGGAACTCAAGCAAGTCCAGTTGATACGATTAATCGACGAGAAGAACCATGAGCTGGAGGACTGAGAATCTTCACAGAGGATATGTTGTGTTTATACGTTGGGTTTTGGTTCTTATATCAAGCTTGTATCCCAATATGTAACTGTAACTGTTCTCACAGTCTTTGCTGGAAGAAAGAAGTGAATAAACACCAGTCAGACTTCAGAGTGTAGATAGGTGCATCCTGAGCAATCCTCAGGTGTCTCAATGGATACTTGTCTTCTACTCTGGGTGGCTGGCTTGGTCTCTCCACCACAGAGAGCTGGTTGACTGAAGAGGGATAAGTCTTCCCTGCAGACTTCTGTCTCTCTGATGGTGTAGCTGGGTTACAGGAACCACTGAGTTCCTGGTTTTGTAGCCTCACCCACATCAGTGCCTCCACAGGGTTGGACTGAGCAGGTCTACAGAAGGCTGCTCAGCTTTCATGGCGTACTTTCTGGTTTCACAGACCGTGTGTGGGTCTTTCTCCATGATGCTAGTTGTAGAGAAATCAGAAACAATCGTAATCAAAGCTGCACCTGATGCAACTGAACTCTGGGTGGAGACCTAACCGAAGGCTCTGAACACTACATCCAGTGTTATATGGGGATAAATTCTTCCTCTTGATATTAAAACATCATCAGTTTGACTCTATAACAACTCAGGCCACGTGGAGCATCAGTCTTGATGTTCAGCCTATCAGCTTTCTTACTGTATAATCTTAAATGTATTATAACTTAAACGTACACTTATGCTTGAACGTCTGCCTGTCTGTAGTGAAGCACATTTCAGACGTGCACTACTGTATCTGCCGGCATCCCAACGTGGTGGCCTCCCATTTGGATGAACAACCGCCCTGCTCACGTTTCTGTCAGGTTCCTTTCATCTCTCTGGGACCTGCTGATGTTTCTGTACTACTTCAACTCAGCTCCAGCTGAACTGCATGCTGTCGCATCAACAGATAAACTCACACGAGGAAATAACTTTGAATTGTGTGAAGACTTTTCCATCATTCAACACCAGTAAAGGTCTAAAAGCTCCACAGACTGCACAGTTACAATCCCAGAACAGCATCATCATTCACTGTGCTGTACAGCTTCACACTAAATACAAACTAATATAGACTGATACAGTTTGGTTAGGGCTGGTATCAATACTGATTATTGGTCATCAAGAAAGACTGATAAACAGTATTTGGAACCGATATACAAGAAACCCATCCATCATCTCTACACCTTAAACCTCACTAGGAGGGCTGGAGCCTATCCCAGCTGACTCAGGGTGAAGGCAGGTTCACCTGGACAGGCAACCAGTCTATATACAAAAAATGTTCTACATTAACAGCATGTAACAGCAGAGAACCTGTCATTCATGACTCATCAATACAGAACAGTGAATATATGCAATAAAAACAGGAGTGCTGACATCACAGTGTTTCATGATGCTAGGACGCCGCTGTAGCCCCTATAGCTCACCTGGCTGAGCAGGTGACCCATGAACAGGGGCTATAGTTCCCCTGAGTTCGACTCCCACTCATGACCCTTTGCTCTCCCCCTTTGAATCAAGATGGCGGCACGCATAGATGCAACACCATCCTGAAGGACTCTTACCACCCGGGCCACTTCCTGTTCGAGCTGCTGCCGTTGGGCATCAGAACCAGGACTAATGGACTGAAACACAGCTCCTTTCTAACTGCTGTCAGAGCCATAAATGCCTCTTTATCATAATAAGTGCAAAATACTGTTAATATGCAGCTGCCACTACCGCTGTGCTCGAGCTTATTATTTAATTTCATTTTTATATAGAGAATTTTTTATATTATGTCGTATATAGCTGTTTACAAAGTTTTTATATTTTGTTGCACTGAAAGGCTGCACCTTACTTTCCGTTGTAGTCGCTGCGATGACAATAAAATTAATCTGAATCTGTTTACGTCACATCGACGACTGAGGCCGATCAGTTTGTCTGCCCTTCTCATGCTGTTTTGTTAATCTATCACGATTTATATCTCTTATTTTCGTTGCTCACTAAGGCCCACATCTTAAAGCATCCTTTGTTATTGTTTTCCAGACTCTTAGCTTAGCCGATGACGTTCTGAGCTTCTGGTTCAGTTTCTGCAGGTTGTCTGTCAGAGCAGACCTGGTACTGGTCCTCCTGTTAGCGCCTGCCTCAGCCTGCCGCCATCAGGAAAATAAGTTCACGCTGCACCGACCCCAATGAGTCCATTATCCTGGTGTTTTCAGCGCAGTGAGAAACTGGAGATATCTGAGCAGGGTTGCAGTGTTTATTGCAGCCTCAGCAGTTTCTGGTCCTTCACCTCGGCTAATCCACTGGAGCGGCTCTGCTCGGTGCTCGTCCGTTAACGGGAGCTTTCAGTGTCGATCGGCTGTTACTTGTGATCAACAACTCCTGCAAACAGAGGCACTGAAAATCATCTAAAGTAAAATATGTCTAAAGATTAATTTCAAGGTCAGGGAAACACCAGAGCTGTCTCAGCTGCTCACATCACAGCCACAGAACCCCAACCAGCGTGTTGTGAGACACCTCAGAGCAGGTTAATGATGTGCCACTGAGAAGACCGATGTGCAGACTTTCACTGTGATAAAAGGTGAACCCACAGGTTGGTTTCTGCTGTAGGCAGAGGGGAAGGCTTTCAGATCAGCTGCTGAGTTAATCAATATCCCTTCGCTGGGAATAATTAAATACACGAAGCCTAAATTCAGCTTCACCTCCTGGTAGTTGCTCATGCTGGCACACTGTCTCAGCCGACTGGGTCACTGGTAAGGTTTCTAGTAATAACTACTATGAGAAGTCAAAACGTCTGCTGTAAGAACAGCAGCTCCACAGATGAACTCTTTACTGGCAGCTATGTAAACACTTTATTCTCACCATCTTCTCCCAGCGCTCATGTCCACCGGCTCGTCCAGGATGTTCTCCTTCCCGTTCTTGCTTGGTCCCACGTGGCTGCTGTGGCCGCCGAGCCTCAAGCTCCCGTTCAGCTTCTCCTCATAGGCGGCGCCCATTAGGCTCTGGTGGTGGAGGGTGCTGGCGCTGGGGCCCTTCCCGTCTCCCAGGTTCCCTGCAACCTCGAGGGCCGCCAGGTCAGCAAGGTCCTTACGTTTGAGCAGCGCCAGCATTTTGAGGCGCTCCATGGCCTCGTGGCCCTCCATTTTTAACCGCTTGGCCAACGTCTCTTCTCTCTCGCTGGGTGACTCCAGGCCTCTCTTTAGCAGGTTGAGCCTCAGCGCCTCCTCGGACATCCGCTCCATCCTGGATGTGACAAGAGAAGATAGAAGGGTTAGCAGGACCGACTCAAACTTCAACCATCAGGACCTGTAGATGCATGTAGCGCAAACACCAAACACGTTCTCCCATGTACCTTAACCCTTTCAACACTAACTTTGGCTTGAATTATCAGGTATCTATGTCTATATGCCAGAGTCCTCACCAGGAGTCCTCTACAGCGTACCGGGGGGTAAGGTTCGTAGACTGGGGGGGGGGCGGAGTCTTAGCAAATGCTGCTAACGGTTAGTGGCGAATATGGGGTTAAAGCGGAAGACCAATATAGCAGGCTATAGTGTTGAAAGGGTTAAAGGTGCTAGTATTGCGACTACCTGTTGGATGGTTTGAAAGGCTTCAGAACCCCCTTCCCCCTACTGGAGGACTGCACTACACCTCCTGTTTTGAAACAACAATGAACACGTTAAAGTTCAGCCGGTTTCATCACGTCCCAGTCGTTCATGTTTCTTGAACAAAAGTCCATCCATCTTTCTAAACCAGAAAAAGCCCAGAAGTCCAGACATCCCTGTGTTCCAGAACTTCTTTTTTAGAATCGGTGCAGCATAAACCCGAGATTCAACAGGGATCAATAAATAACCAAGCAATTAACACAGCAGGGCAGTAACAGGCTGGATCTCTGTACTAACACATGTCTGATACCTCTGTGCATAGCAGCAAAGAAGACTTGTGTGAAGACAACAAGTCTTACTGCACATCAGCTTGGTCACATGACTGACTTCAGCATGACAGAGCGCTGAAGCAAAGACGCTGCAGCAGAACACAAGTCGCTGGACGAGGAAATGACAAAGCAGAAGCACCCTCAGCAAACTGCTAAAGACCCACCGTCTCATCTATTCCTTCTTCAGACTGTTCGTACATGCAGATGTCGTTGGGCGCTGACAGAATCCTACAGTGTATGTGCAGTCACTGAGCTTTGGGGTCTCATCTTTAGTCCTGATGGCCTCTGCCATTACAGCTCCATAGCTAACGTAGCACTATTTATTTAAACCTCTCCAAATCATCTTATAAAACCGATGGACAACAACACATTCCAACGTGTGCAACAGGAAGCTGAGAGTTTTCCGTTGTCTGTTGAAAGAGTTGTGACCACAGGAATCCTTCCCCAGCGCTGCTGCGTGAACACCAGGAGGAAAACACACTTTATTATATCATGAACTGGTGCAGATATATGATCATCACAAACGGCCCAAATGTATGTGTTTAAGAAGTCTGAAAGACCTTGTTTATTAGTTATGTGGACAGTTTGATGAGCTAGCTATCAGTATAGAGCGTGAGTGTTTTTTTTCTAGACGTGCATAACTTCACCTGCAGACAACATGGTTGCTTTCATTCACCACGACATCAAAAACACCTGGACCAGCACTGAATTTGGCCAAAAAGTCGTGTATATTCTGGAGCATCAGTCGGGTTTAATTGGCCACATTATCATGTAATCAGCTTCCTGTTAGCAGATTATACCTGCTGCTGTCATCTCCCTGTATCTACTGCATCATGGTGCTCTGGCCACCACCACTACAGTCTGTTCCTGTCTTCCTCCTCAGGTCTACAGCTACCTCTCTAACACAGGTAGGACTCCTGATGACACTCCTGAACCACTTCTTCGTCTTTACTAATTAATTTGTGACGCAGCGGCCGAGACGTCGCCTCCATTTGCTGAGAGAACAACAGCAGCAGCTCCTGAAACCTCTCGGCCCGGTCTGCTGAGGACGCTGCTGACGAGCCAATCACGGCTGGCCTTGTGCTGCCGTTAGTAGCTGGCACCCCCCCACCTCCCC